GATGCAGATACAGGCCCACGCGGGCCTTCTCCTCGTCTAGGCGAGCCTCCGCCTTCTTCATGTACTCTACCACACTGTTCTCAGCCACGAACTGGCGAGATTCATTCTCGTAGTAGACTCTGGTCGCAGCAATAAAGGGTTTCTCGAAGTATACTCTGTAAACCTCGAGCGTAGACTTCGTGCTATCATTCTCGTCCAGACCGAGAGAGACAAACGAATCTACGATGTTCTTGATTTGCGACTGCTCGATGGTTTCGCCGTTTCGTTGCTTTTCGATCAGATTTAACACGGCCTCCATGACCTTCTCATGGACCTTCAAGAAGAAATCGTCCTTCCATTTCACGAGGTGCAAAGTGTACACATCGTAGACATTCTTCTTGCCCTCGTCGATCTCCCTCTTCACCCAATGGCGGTTCAGGTACCGGAAGAGGTGGTTGACGTATTTGGCGGCAGTTGTGTACCGAATCCATTCGCGAATGTAGAATCCTAATAGGGCTTCTTCGGTATGACTTTGGGACTCTCTGTACACGGCCTCGAGGTGGCGTGACAGGTACTCCCCTAGTAGCTTGTATAATTCCTCGCCCAACAAGTGTGCTACAGTAGAAAAAAATCGTCAGAACAAGGTCATCAAAAGCTTGCATACCATTCGCATAAGGGACGGAAAGACAAACCACCACGATGCGCCTGTAAGCCCTGCCCGTTGCTGACTGCCTTTTGTGATGTGCAAAAGTTGTGTACGGCGCTTTATCGCAGGGGTTAGTCAACTCATATCTGAGAGAAGACGAGAATCTCAGTTCGAACATACGTGTACAGGGCCATGTACTACACCAGAGGGCGCGATTGTCAGCATCGTTGCACATAAACAACTCGCTCTCCATGATGGCGAGAAAATTGGTCGGGAAAAAAAGGGCAGAGACTTACAGTTTTCATATCCACACCCTCCTCCAGCTTCAGCATAACGCTGTCGATACCCTTCTCCAGGAATGTCCATCTGCTCGAATTAGCCTAGACTGCGAGTCATAACCATTGTGAAGTGTATCCGAAAGGCGGTGGAGCTCGAGGCGTCGGTGCGAGTGAACTCACGTTTCGTCAAGGTCATCCTTGTGAGGGGTCTGAGGCATTAGAGGAGGCATAATGCTTCCTAGAGCTCAAAGATGGGACGAGTTCGGTCCTGAGATGACGAAGCAGTGGAGGTCAGCAGATGAGATAACGGTCACCGATCCAAAGCGATGATTTGGCGACTACCGGAAGGGGAAAGTGAAGTAGAATAATGCGGCAGAACTGAAATGCTCACTTCGATTGTCAAATGGACACGGTTCAAGCCTCGAGACGTTAAATAAACTTGCTGCGGCAGACGGTGAGAGCGCCGGCGGTAACGCCTTGAAAGACCGTTCAGGAAAGGCGGCGCACGAGGCGAAAGAACGAGGGTAGTAGAAGACAGCTAGGGGACAGAGGTAAGCTGAATGGACCGACTGGCAAGCACTTGATAATAGGACCAAGAGCAAGACCCCAGGACAGAAATCAGGTAACACGCGTACTAGGAAGAGAGGAAGAAAGAGAACAGGCGTGGCGTTGGGCGGTGGTGGAGAGTCGCAGGCGTGGGGATGATGGATGCCATCTTAGCGGCAGGCGGTGAGCCAGCTGAGGCGCCCGGCGCCCTACTAGGCTAGGTGCCTGCTAGGCAATAATGATCTATCAACTTCGGCTCGAAAACGGAGATTTGACCTGAGGAAGAATCTTTTAGGCATATACAGGGAATCTCCAGAATAGAGAGGCTAATATGCAAAGTGACTCATGGAGATATCTTTGCAAACGTTGTTATAGACACAGACGAGGCTTTATTATGAGAAAGTAAGACTTGAAAGCCTACGAAGTAGTTCTTAGTACAACTTTTGGCCCTTGCTTACTGGACAGCTGGACTTCTGTAGCTACCTATATACATACATGTGACACTCTGGATTCAGCTCTTCTATGGGCATCGGCGCCATCTAGAAGACTTGAACCGTGGATTGTTTTCAGATAGACAGTTGATAGCATCACGGACTTGTAAGCCGGGATGACGTCATGCGTGGCCTCATCAACAACTAAAGTACCTGCGATAGAGAGAGCCTATGTCTTCTCCTCTGCTTGTGATACCACTATCTGATAATCACTTACTCTTGCGTTGAACTTGTGGTCTGCAAAAGCGATTTGTTCAACATACCTGCCGTCGATAAACTTGGCTAACCAGTGAGATTCAAAATATAGTACAATGTCATTCAGAACTCCATCAGAAATCCGGGTCACCTCGCGCCAAATTCCCAAGTGGGAAAGGATCCCAAACACCTCGATCCAATCAAAGCCCCTCATGATCTATCACAAGGCATTCAACGCATCTCCCAGTCAGCTCACTGCGCACTTGGAGGAAGTTGGCGAGGTTATTCCCCAGTGGGTTTATAGCATGTATAGCCAGACACATTTCCACAGCACGACCCATGAAGTCCTGGGGGTTGTCTCGGGACGTGCACGTCTCTGCTTTGGCGGGGAAGACAATCCGAATCGATTCGAAACGGACGTCGAAAAGGGCGATCTGATCATCGTCCCAGCAGGCGTTGGTCACCGACTGTTGGATGAGCTCGACCCTGAAGAGGAGCGGTTCAAGATGATGGGTGCATATCCGAAGCAGAAGCAGTGGGATATGTGCTATGGAGAGTCAGGAGAGGAAGACAAGGTCAAGGGCATCAAAGACCTGGGCTGGTTTCATAAAGATCCTCTATTTGGAGACGATGGCCCTGTGTTGCATGTTTAAATGCTAATTGCGTTGTGGGTCAAGAGAGCTGGTCAACATCGTTGGTTGCGTGAGGTCGTTAAATTTTCCGCCTATAGCGCCACGTCTCCTAATTTATGCCGGCTGCAGTGTACCAACAAGAAGATTAACTTTCCAACGTGATAGAACAAAATAAGAAAAGAATCTTAGATACCACACAAACAAAAGGAACATATCGAGCAAGGTGAGACAGCAAGGTTGCATTCAGTGAGCAAAAGGAGCTCTGGCCGTAGCAAGGTTCGTAGAAAGATTAATCAAACATAAAAGTGATATGAAGCAGAGTTTCACTGGGCAACCCGCTCAACGAGTCTGTTGTCAATGAAGACTGTCAGCACTGCACATTCAGGAGAACGGTGGCGGTTTCCTACCTGAGAACACTTATTACAAAGGTCATAAGCCAAGCCAACAGAGCAACCAGCAGGACACAGGCAAGTGCTATTTGCCTGTCGCATATCGCATCGTTCTTCTCGGAAATTTGCTGATTGACCTCTGCCAGCGTACACGCGCCTCTGGCCGTGGACAACGATTCGAATGCTATACTCAGGTTGGCTGAATCGAACACTATAAAAAATATATCCAGGAGAATCAGTCGAGCCTTTGCAGCCGGAGAGCGTAGCCCCAGTGGTTTGGCTGTGTATTCGTCCCATGTGATGTAGAGCAGATAGACGAGGGCGACCGCATCCACAATAATAGCCATCAAGGCGGACGGGCCTTGGGGGTGTTGGTACTTGTCTGAGAGATGCTGTATAGATCCTCCAAGGGCAAGGGCAGTAAGAGAGAAGCACCAGACGGTGAGCCGAAAGATCAAAGGTACTATAGGACTCTTCAACAAAGTGTTGTGGAAGCGCTTGAACCAGATCTGTCTGCGTCGCTTCATCTTGAGCGGATCCTCGGTATCTTCGCTCGGCTCCAGTTGCCCTCGCCATGGCTGTGAGAAGTCGCCAAGGTTCTGATTTAACCATTCAGGTGTTACGAGCTTCTCTTCAAGACCAGGTTCTAGGGGATAGGCGATTGCCTTGGAGAAAGTCTTCCACCGGGATTCGCGACGTGGGCCTAAGCCAGTCTCTTCGTCAAAGCTTTGCTCTCTGGTATAGTCTGGTCTCGATGTCGCATAAGGGGAGTGGTTATGTTGGGCAACGAGGGCGTCATCGGGTTGCGGAGGTAGAAGTCTTGCTGTAGCCGACGCCTCGGCTTCAACATTCGCATTTTCATAAGATCGAATCCATGCTGGACGTGAGCCGAGTCAGTCAGTCTCTCTCCTATTGGAAATGCCAATGCCTATTTACCAGGTAATGTCCGCAATTTGTTCCCCAGTTCTAAACTATTGCCACCAATGTCTGTGAGGGCATTTTCTATAGCTTGCGAGGCACCAGCGGACGCATCTAATGTGCCATTGCGCAGAGGTTCTTCGGAGCGCTTGTCTTTCTGAAGTCCGTTTGTAAGACGGGTTGGCGGTTCTAACAACCGCGTGGATTTCTCTGTGATACCATCGTCTAAGGCACGCTCAAGTCTCAGAGGCTGTTGTTGGGAATCGCGCACATCCTGCGCCATTGCCCTTTAGATCAACGATTGTTCCCAGCGAGGTTGCGTCGGACTCTCGGAGGTTGCGGGAAGACGATGGATCCAATCTGCATTGCCTCAATTCCCTCTGGTAAAAGGAGGCGCAGTACCAAGACCTAGCTGTCGGAAAATTTTAATTTTGAAACGAGTGTATTGAAGAGAAAATGAAAGTAGGAAAAAATCGAATATTGTAGGGCAGAAGCCCATTACGACAATAGTGAAGAGGTTGGGGACCGAGCCCCGACAAGGCATTAAATGTTCCGAGACGATCAGATCTCAGGTTATTATTATGGCTGGATTTGGTCCAGGTGCGGAATGACGTCTCCTCATAATAATCCTGCTAGGTTAACTAGTAATACGGACCACCAGGTATCTACCTCCAAGCTCAACAAGGACAAGGCCTCTCTCCGGGATTTCTTTTGCCACAGACAACAGAAAACATATCCTTGGGGCAAATTACCAAAAGGAAAAAGGCATGCTACTTTTACAGACTCTCTTCGATCGGTTGTCCTGTCAAGCCAATCGATAGTCGTCCTGACCTCCTGACCCCTGACGGCGTACAATCCCTCGCAAGCAATAGTAATTCAACACTGTTGCAAAACTTGACTACCATCATTTATCTGGCAATTTCGCTATGCGACTCTTCGTGATTCCAATCTCGACGCAACGAGCGTTGATCTACTCTCGGCCCCTCAGCAGGGATATCGCCAAGGAGCTCTCGGTACTTGATCGCGTCACGAACAAGGCCGCGGAAACATGGGCCAGATGGGAGGAAGCTGATAAAGGTTGGAAGAAACACCTTGTGACATGGGGGAATAAGGTCCAGCAGCGCATCCCGTTTGAAGAATGGGGTCTGAAAAGCATTCCGTCTCTCAAGGCGCAAAGGAGACTCGACAAGTCATGGGAGACGAAGAAAGTCGACGTTCTGTTCCCCGGGAATGCGATCAAGGCAGATAAACTTCGCTCGATTCTCCGGAAAATAGCGACAGAGAGACAAGACCTGCATCGCAGAAAAATGTGGTGGAGTTTGATCGCAGCTCCTTTCACAGCTCCGATTGCGTTGATTCCAGTGTATGCTTTCTGCCTCTGTACGAATGGCGATGGCGCTGACTGGTTCATAGCGTTCCTAATATCCCTTTCTTCTATCTTGCGTACCGAGGCTGGTCGCATTGGCGAGGTCGGCCCATCCCTCTTTCAAACAAACTCATTTCTCTACTGACACATCGAAGCATTGAATGGCTCCAAACATCTAGAATGCCTTGTTGAGAAAGATTTACTCAATCCAATCTCGTTTCCAGGCCTGGAGCAACTATACGCAAAACGCGTAGCCCGCGCGCTCGGGAACAATGACTCCGAAAAGTCCGCTTCTAGCATGGTTGAAGAAGTGGAGAGGAGCGAGGACAGGCTATTACTCAATATGGCCGATGCTAAGAAACTGGCCTCCATTCTTGATGCGCCGGAGCTCGCACTTGAAGCAGAGCGAGCTATCTTCCAAGTTGGCGAAAGTCTCAAGGCACAGCATGAAGCGGCCAAAATTGATCAAGGATCTGCCACTTCGAAAGAGAAGAAGACGTGAGCGCATATGAATGGAAAATGGAGCAACTGCGGAAACGTTATGACACGACTGTATAGACCTCAGACTTTTACGATCTCCCCTTTGCCAGATTTAAGGCACCGCTGTATTGAGTGACTGTTTCTGAGACTAGATGACGACAAGTACCTTTGTACGATTTGTGCCTTTCATGAATTAATCCACTTGACTATGTATACAACCTCATAATAACAGAACAGATTTTTTTGTGATTGCACAGGAAAGGGGGAGAATTAACTTCGCTCTTGCTACACCGCAGCTGTAGTCCTTAATCAGAATAGCAGCATATCAGTAATTTCGACTATATCCCTAACACATACGACCATAGGGTGTGGAAAACAGGGCTTCCCGTCCGCTCAGCCGTACTTAAGCCACACGCCGGCCGGTTAGTAGTTGGGTGGGTGACCACCAGCGAATCCCGGCTGTTGTATGTTTTTGATCTTTTGCTTGTCTCTTACAAGTCTTCCTTCGTCAATTGTTCCTTTTTTCAACTTTTTGTGTTTCTGCTTCTCTATTTGGAGGACAGGACGCAAGATATATGCACCAGTTGAATCCCTAGTTGAAAGCAAGATGGGCCGGCAAGAAGCTGGTGCTGCAGCCTTGCAGGGATATTCCAATGCATATTAGATAAAGCAATCAGTAGCATTGAACAGAATTCCACCTAGATCAGCGGAAAGCAACGCCAGCAGAAATCCTTCTGATATATTCTGCCTATTCTACTTGAAATAATCAAGCAAGACGTCCTCTTCCTTGTTCAACATCAACACGAAGCCGATGGCTGAGATCCGAGGCTAGATAAGATTGATAAGATGGTGAGATTCATGATTAGTGATCATCTTTCCTTCAAACACCTCATTGTGCATGAAACTGTGCGCTGAAATAAGGAGCAGGTATTGATATTCCAGGTTGCGACAATGGAGGGCAGGACCTCCACATTTGGGGCAAGCTGTCTTTGAATACACAGAATGCATGGTATACATGATCAAACCGCCAAGTCACAATCACATTTCCGGCCGAGGCCGGAACTGGTTCCAAATCAAAACCAGTAGCTCCTTTAATGGACACGGTGAGAAAATACATTAGTGGCTTATACTTCCCATGATCTTCGAAGCTGCTGCGAAACACCGCAGGACGTACTCAAACCTGGGATTGCTCTAAATTTCTACGTGGTAAGTTTCACGGAGCTCCACGCTGGGAAGACGATTAACATGTCCTTGATACAGCCTGTCCAACAAGAAACATGGCAGGGTCTTGCCATTCAGCGGCATTCGAAAAGGCAATCGATGTCACGCCGATCGACTCGCACACATACTCAGCTTATCTGGACCCCCAATGGTGCATCTTGAGCGGCAAGTTCATCCTCCCGAGAGATATGGATGGTATTTGCTAACATGCCCGACAGTGCCCCATGGAGGTTACGCTACAAGCGTTCTCTACCGACTAGCCACGGTGTACTTTAGAGAAACGAAGAGTAGCCGGTTCCAAACCACACCAGAACCCATCGGATTCCAGTTGTCGTTCCTCCGTCGAACAGTCGTGGGGCCCGCGATCTTGAAGGTACAGGACGTCAAGATCGGAGCAAGGATAAGTACGATCCATGTCACACTGTCCCAGCGACCGGACAGGCCTGGCACAGCGGATGACAAGGACGACCTCGAAGTGAAAGTCGTCGGATATATCACCGTCAGCCCCCCGGAGATGGAGGAGGGCCCGATCTGCAAAGGCACCTGGGGGCTCTCCCCACCTCCGGTATCCGGCTCTCTAGCAAATGGCTCGGTCAATCTAGCAGCGTTGGCAGCGAACGGAGCGGATGGCGCGTGGATGCGGTTGCCTCGTCCACCTCCTGGCTTGACCGCACCACAGCATCTAGAGATCTACGCACCACGCCCCCAAGGACCGATGACGCTCGAAAGTCGGCAGAAGCAAGTTGTCGACCAGTGGGCGAGGTTCATTCCTGGTGGGAAAACAGTCGCGCGCTGGTCTAACGAAGCGGTTATGTTCTTGGCTGATCTGTTTCCCGCGGCACTTGACCGGATGGGTGCAATGGAAACAAGACGGCTTCTTGCCATGGAGGAGCCCCAGGGGGGACAGCTTAAAGAAAACGCAGTGGACAAAGAGACGTTTTGGTATCCCACTGTGACGTTGAACATTGACCTGAAGACCAGGATTCCTCCGGAAGGCGTGGAATGGCTACACTCGCGCGTGGTTACCAGAATGCTTCGTGGTAGCCGCGCAGACTTGGATGTAGTCATTCTCGATCCACAAGGCGAGCTGATAGCCCTTAGTACGCAAGTGGCACTTGTGGTGGATGCCTCTCGGAACACGAAAGGAAGGGTTGGTTCCGAGAAGTTATAGGACTGTCTGAATATTAGTATTACATAGAGCAGTAAATTAGGAGATGGTTTTATTGCTGGCATTCCAACAGCTAGAATTCATTGCCATTGCCAGAGGCCCACTGTTGAAATCCTAGTTGATCCTATTGCTTGCCTCCCTACCCGTGGCTCAGGCCTGGTGACTGTGCATATGCCTCGAACTGCACATTCAAGCGCAAGTTGCTCAGAAGCGAGGCATAGAAAAGACCTAGAATTTATTTAGATCGATGTAACCAGCATGGCACTGAAACAGGACTTATTGAATGGCTGAATTGATCAGCCAAAGGGCTATCTGCTTGGCTGTTTGTCAGAGTCTCAGGTCTTTCAGCGGAAATAACTGTCCCATCCCCAGAGTACCAAATAAACGCGCAGTTAAAACGGGATCGCCGTTGAATTCCACCCATCCATCTTCATCCACAGCCCGTACCGAAGGCGGACAGTCTGGTACGCAGCTCTTTCCTGGCTGTCGTGAAATAAACGCTGTATCCCCGAATGGGATGCTTTCATCAGGTGTTGTTGATGACTGAGGAACCGCGTACAGTTGTGATTCGTCTTTCATTATTGCGTTAAATAGCCACCCAATCGGATCCATTTCAGTCAACTGCTAAATGATGCCATACTGTGCTCTGTGTAGGCTGGTGATATCGTCTAATAAATATTTGTCATCTTCTTCCTGCGCAAGAACCAAAAGCAGACTTAGTCGCTGGGTGAACCATTTGAATATCGGTGCAGCCGTGCCAATCTCTCCAGGTGTTGCAGGTTGTTCTGTTATGCCTTCTTTTGCACCATCTTCTTCGTCTGTCAGACTCAGTTCTTCAATAATCGCCTTGGAAACTTCAGGCATGGCAGCATCAGTTTGCCGGCCGAAATTGCCGAAATTCCCCTTATCCTCAGGATTCCCGTCGGTGATTGCTCTGGCCTCCTCGACAGACTCTATCGGATCGAGAAGAAGACCCTGAGAGTTAAACTTCACCCCATACGTCTGGAGCTCTTCCTCGCTGATTGGCTGGGGGAGAGGCGAGATCTTGGCGAGGTCGATTGCCATCTGCAAATCCGTGCCTCCCGGGTCTGCGTTGAGCGTCCTGCCTGATTCCATGGCTTTGAATCTCTCGACCTGGGCACAGACAAGGATGCTCATCGCCGTTCTGTGATCTGGGATGGCTTTTGCTAGCCTCCCCACTGCCTTGGTCCAGTTCTGGGCGTTATTGATACCCAGAAAGAGTTGGCCGTCCTCCACCCATTTGTTCACCGATAATATCTGTTATCTTAATCTTCGGATTGACAGGCGAGCTGGGACGGGGCAAAATGACCTGAAAATGTTAGTCTGAAAAAATGCGTATCCTGGGACCAACTTACAGCAGATTCTCTCACAGTAGGTGCGCCATCTTGTAATTCCCAGAACTCCAGGTGCGCGATAATTGGCCCCATCCGATCTGATAATACGATATGGGAACGGATATTATCATACAACTCTTCATCAGAGATACCGTTGTCATCATGAGATATCCCATCCTTCGTTTTGACGAAGTCATTGCCATAGTCCCGAACAAGCTTTTGCAGCCGAGTTCTTGCGTCTCACGATTTTGGTGAGATTATAGAACGTGCTTATCTTCATCGATATTGAAGAGGACAACAAGACGAACTTTACCCCCAGACCTCAGCAGCCACTGACGAGCATCGTTTCGTAGATCTTCATTGGAGTGACAAGATAGGCATTGCGAGGGATTAATTCACCCTAATCAGAATAGCGCCCCCAGACAAGGTGTTGCAGAACAGATGTGCAGTGCCTTTTCAAAACAATCTTCTGCTCTGTACTATCCGCCTGACTCCGGAAGCCCGAGGGATCTGTCAATGGCTGTGGTGGATGGCTTTTTATCATGATTAATGTATTTCAACATGACTACCCAAGAATCAAATAATAAAGATTCAGCCATCCAATCAGTTCCTGCCAGTGAAATGGATGTGGACGAGATGAGCGCCAGCCAAGGACAGTACCTTAGGTAAATTAACATTATTGATTTGCTACAATGGACGGAGATTCACTAAGGTACTACCTTAGGTAGACTACTAGGTAAGGCACAGACGGTGCAGTACCTAATTTTCCGGCCTGGACCGGCTTCTGGAAATTTGTCGAGGCCGGATGGGAACGCCACACAACCGTCGATCACTGACTTTATTTGTTTTTGACCCACCGGCTATCCTTCCCAGCTTCGGTAGTACTATCACTGTACTTTATCTGCTGAATACACAACACATTTGCCTACCTTCAAGATGATTCCCCTGACAAGTCCTGAGCATTCCCCAAGCCCCCCACGCACGCGCAGTCTCAGAAGTGCATCCCGCTCTGCCCAAGAGATTTTCAATGAGATTGTTTACCAGATCCCGAAAATCAAAGAATTTACTGAAATCATCTATGAGGACGTCGACCCTGAAGATGGTATCTTAATCTGTCAGTCACTAGTGGATGAACGAGTTGAAAGAAGAGCTGCGAGGTATGACATGCCTCTCACTGATACACCAAAGTTTCCTTTGACCTTTAATATAATATTATAATAGGGTTAACTTCAATGCCTATACCCGTACACTCCGCATCAAAGTCATGCCAACGGAATTACACGACGCCCACCAACGGTGGGCTATTAATACCATTGGGAGTTGGATCTTCGATGGACTCCTGAATCGCCAGGAGAAGAAACTCCTGTGTGCTGGTGTTGGGACAAGTATGTACTGTTTATCTCTGCTAGATTATTATGCTACTAATACATCTTAGCTTTCACCGGTTTGGCTGGAATTTACCAAGGTTCTTACAAAGAACCAGACTTCTTTTATAGAGCTGACAGCTTTCCCTTCCCCTCTATTGTTATCGAATCGGGTTGGTCTGAGTCCTTTCCACATCTACGGGCAGATAAGGATCTCTGGATGCGAGGAAATGCCTCTGTGGAGCTAACGATCCTCTTGGGATGGACAAAAACCTCCAGAGGCCGTGTTCAGGGCAACATGGAAGTCTGGAGACGTGATGGGGCCGGAGGCCTCATTGTTACTGAAATAGTTAGTATCCTTCTATCTCAGGTCTACGATGGAAAGCAAATATTAAGAGTTCAGGCAATATTTCCTCCACCGGTTCCTTTACCCTTGAGTGAACGTATTGAGTTCACTAAAGGCCAGCTCTTTGGGTCAGCTATAATAGCTGGCCAGAACCCAGGCACTGTACTTTCTTTTAAAGGGTCAAGGTTAAGGGAGATCGCTGAGGAGGTGATTGTTAAGAGGTTGGGGATGATACCAGCGTAAGTGGATCATGGTCCCGTGGATGTCAATCAAAAACTGGTCCGTGCACAAACGCGAAAATCCGCGTCCTGCAGCACCCTAGACCGCGGAATAGTCGCCCTAAAAAAGAACAAAAGAGTAGCAGGCATTGCATTGCGTCAGGCATTCCTGCACAAGGACTGACTTTTATCTTTTCCCTTAATCACCCTTAATCATTCTTGATTTTCTTTCCTTGCGTCGTTCATTTTTGTGTCTCACATCTTGGATGATTCCATACCTTTGATAAAGCGAAGGAGGATCAGATTGTTATCGCAAGATCGGAGCTATAACGCCATTTTGATCCCATTTATGACCTCTACAAAGCAAACTTCGATGAAAGCAACTCATTGAGATCGAACAGAGAGGAAAGGACATGTCTGGTGCAGTTACTCCGGACAACAACTACCGATACCTACGAAGATAGCCCTGAGCGGCAAAACTCTACGCAGTTTTCCTTCTCCGTAGCGAATATTGTCCATCAGGAAATGAAGTCTGCCATGGATGAGCTAGAGCAGGGTAGCCCTATGTCCGGGGTTGAAAATGGACAGGGGGAGAACGAAGAGGACGTTGAGGAGATGGATGCCAAATCGAAGGCTCTGATGCACCTTTTGAATACGAGTGAGGTATTTTTTGCCTTATATTATGCTTTGGAGAATATCTTTTCTATGGGACGGATCACTGACCTGTTGGGTCACTATTGTAGGTCTTCGTGGCGATCATGGCAGATAAGATGAAGAAGCAGCAGGAAGAGGCTCGGCTTGAAGCGGCGAGGCAGCAGCAGCAACAGCAAAACCCGACAGAATATCAAAAGAAGATAACCTCCACAGGCCCAGTTGGTAGGCGAGAAACGCGCGCGAGAGCGAAGCAGACTTCCGCAGATGAGACAACACCTGCTGAGGGCGAGCAACCAGATGAAAAGACAGCCACAAGGTCGAGAAGAGGCAGAGGCAAGAAGGGTGCTTCGGCGATGAACGGTAACAGCATTGCAAGCTATTTTAAGAAAGCGGATATGGAAGACCCCGAAGACAAGCCGACGGTGCAGGAAGCCCTGGAACATGCTGCGGACGAGTATGAGGCCAACCCCAGTGCTCTAGGTGGGCAGGGCCTTGTCGCCACTCAGCAACCGGCGCTTGTTACTGGAGGGAAAATGCGCAAGTATCAATTGGAAGGACTGGAGTGGCTCAAATCACTTTGGATGAATGGCTTGTGTGGAATTCTGGCCGACGAGATGGGTCTTGGGAAAACAGTCCAGGCAATCTCTTTGATTGCCTTCTTCAAGGAGAAAAACGTCTCCGGACCCTTTCTGATTGCTGCTCCGTTGAGCACAGTCAGCAACTGGGTAGATGAGTTCGCGAAATGGACCCCGAGCATCAAGACGGTCTTGTACCATGGCTCCAAAGACGAACGTGCCATGATCCGCAGCAACTTAATGAAGCTGAAGGACCAGAAGAGTATGGATTTTCCGGTCGTTTGCACATCCTACGAGATCTGTATGAACGATCGAAAGTTTCTCGCGCAATACCAGTGGCGATACATCATAGTTGTAAGTTCTGCGCTACTCTCCATCTGAAAGGGAAGTGCATCTCTAACCTGAGACCAGGACGAAGGTCATCGCTTGAAGAACATGAACTGTAGGCTCATTAAGGAGCTTCTCTCATACAACTCTGCAAACCGACTCCTGATCACTGGTACACCACTGCAGAACAACATCACCGAGCTGTGGTCACTGTTGCACTTTCTGCTGCCGGAAATTTTCAACGACCTCAACAGTTTCCAAAGCTGGTTTGACTTTTCCTCAATGCTCGATAACCGTGGGCAGACGGATGTCATAGAACGTCGGAAACGCACACTTGTCTCCACCATGCATTCAATCCTGAAGCCCTTCCTTCTGCGGCGGGTCAAGACCGATGTGGAAACTGCCTTACCAAAGAAACGCGAATACATTCTCTATGCCCCTCTCACAGCGGAACAAAAGGATTTGTACCGTGAGATTCTTAATGGCACGGGCCGTCAATACCTCGAGGATAAAGCCGCAGAACGACTCATGGCCAAGAATGAGAGGCTGTCCCGTTCGGCGAGCCTAAAACGCAGTGCCGACAGTAGTAACACTTCGACCCCCAACAAGAGCCTCAAATCTAGCAGAGATTCGACCCCAGCCAGTGGTACTAGTTCAACTCGCAGACGTAGGGCCGCCCAAAATTACAAAGAGCTGAGTGACCGCGAATTCAATGCGCAATTACGACGCCTCGAGCAAGGCTTGGAAGACGATTTGGACATACAACCGAGCCCTAGCGATACTGAGCAAGAGGAAATCGAAAGAGCAAATACCATCAAGCTTGCTAGTACGTATATGGCTGTTTTGAACTGAACTGGCCACTGACTGGTGCTAACGAACTTACACAGAGAAAGAAATTGCTCAGAAGAAAATGCAGAATCCGGTCATGCAAGCCCGTCTCGCCTGTAACTCTCCACATAATTTCTACTGGCCATGGAGCGATGACCCGGCCGCCATCGACGAGACTCTTGTCACCGCATCGGGCAAGATGCTCCTCCTGGACCGCCTCGTGCCTTGTCTCCTGAATAAGGGGCACAAGATCCTCATATTCTCCCAGTTCAAAACACAACTCGACATTCTTCAAGATTGGGCCACCCAGCTCCGCGGCTGGAACTGTTGTCGCATTGACGGCGCCATCAGCCAGACAGACCGTCAAGCCCAAATCAAGGCGTTCAACTCGGACCCGGGCTTCAAGATTTTCCTGCTGAGCACCCGAGCAGGAGGCCAGGGCATTAACCTTGTCGCCGCCGACACGGTAATCCTCTACGACTCAGACTGGAATCCTCAGCAGGATCTTCAAGCGCAGGACCGCGCACACCGAATTGGCCAAACAAGACCCGTCATCGTCTACAGACTCGCAACCAAAGGAACCGTCGAACAGACTCTCCTCGAGAAAGCCGACTCGAAGCGCCGCCTCGAACGTCTCGTCATCCAAAGGGGCAAGTTCAAAAGCCTCCTGGACCCGAGCTCGGCGAATTACAGCGACGCAGAAGAGCTCAGGAAGGCTCTCGGTGAAGACGAATTCGAGCGCTTCGAGACGGGTGCTAATCCCACCGCGCTTCTGTCGCAGAAAGATCTGGATATTTTGACTGATCGCAGCGAGGAGGCGTATGCGCGTGCCGAGAGGGGCCTGGATCAGACTGGGCGTGCGTTCAAGGCTGTCGAGACGAAGAAAGAGGGGAACACCCTCATGGCTCAGATTACTGGAAAATAGATTGTTATTTGATGATTGCTTGGGGTTTGGGATGGATCCTCGATTCTGGGATCTGTTCCGTGTCTACATTTGCGGCGTTGTGAAAGATGGATACGCTAGGCGTTGGCGCAGTGAAAAGGATGTCATTTGTACAACAGTTAGAAACCAGGTCCTAATACTTGCTGGACAGGACTTGGCCGAGTCCTGGATCACGACGTGAATTCAAGAGTATCATCCATTTAGCGCCTATGCTCCTCGCCAAAAGAATGGCTGTACATGAATTGGCCACAAAAAAAAAAAAAAAAAAAAAAAAAAACCCCGCCGGCAAGCATGCAAAGAGAGAAAAAAAAAAAAAAAAAAAAAACTACCTTTTACACAACCCCCAACAACAACAAAAGAGTAAAAATGATTATTAGTCCTTCAATATTGAAAATAAAGAACAAATCAAAGAACTCCATATATAACTCTCTGATAAAGACACATACAACATCAACCAACACGACAACAGCCTTACTAATCACTG